TCTGCTTAACAAAGTATATGGCAGTGTGCATTTAATTTTAGCTCAGAATCCCTTCAGCTGTTCTAATTCATCTCCCTTGTAGTTCTTCACTGTTACTGGCTCCATATGCCTTGAAAGTGATTATTCCTTTGCACCTTGATCTTACAATGTGTCTGACTGTACAGTATAATAAAGTATGTCACTATGTCCACAAGAAGTAGTACCTTGCTCTCATGAGACATAAAGGAGGGAAGGGGAGAAAAAACAAACAGCAGTGATGGCGCATAAAAGCACATGACAAGCTTTTATTCTAATCCTTTATAACCAGAGCTCAACTGATTAGACAGAAGAGTAGAAGATTAAATAAACCTACATATAAAGTCTTGTCCAGATGCTCACAAATTTGTAAAGGAAAGTAACAGATTGGTACTTTTGAATTCAGATTATGAAAAATGAAGATAAAAAAAGGTTTGTGATTTTCTCATGCTTGATGTCAGTTTGTGAATGATAGTGAACACAAGAAAGGATCTGGTAGACCATCTTGACTACTGACATTGGTACTGTCAACATTCAGGCTGATCTTTGCTATATAGTTTGGCATTCTTTTTCTTGCAGCAAGAAAATCCTTCTGGATACTATTTCTGCAAATTATCCTGCCTATCAGCATACTCAGAAGGGAGTCCAACCAAGTTTAATTATACAAATTCCTGTGGTAGTGCTTCAATCTTTAAGATATCTCTTAGCTGGAAGATTCATTTACCTCAAGGAGACTGCTGAGTTCATACATGCAAAACTGCTGCATTATCTCTTAGGAATAACCCATTACACTGAATGGGGCCAACTTTAAACTACACCAGCACTGGCTTGTTCTGAGTATCTAAAAAGGAAGGAATAGGGAGGAATTGGTCTGGGTCAAACCTAAACATCCCCCCCCCAAAAAAACGCCCCTATTCTGATATCCTCTTTTTGACCTCCCTCCTCTTTTCTCTGTCTGCAACTCCTCTCTCTGGATGTGACTATGCAATGGGGAAAATACAGGTTGATCTACTGTGATTTCCCTGGGTGATTTGCAGGAGTCAATCCATTCCCTCTCCTCCTGCCATCACCACAGCACTGCTTTGAGCTGCACCCCACTCCCCTGTCCTGGCAATCTACTGTTGCCTAGAGGTGACCCATATTTGCTCTGGCTGGTTCACAGAAGCTGGATAATCTGTTGAGCTTGTTGTTCTTTTCCACTAGGAGTGGGGAGTCAGACAAGAGCAACTGCTTGCAAGCTGGGGAGGGGAGATGATTGGGTTCAAGCAAATCTGAATGGCTACAGCAGAAACTATCTTAAGGTGTTAGCAAGTTCTAATTGGCAATTTCCACCTTTTCCTGGGTAAGCTAAACCAAAAAAGACAATTTCCTGCTCAAAAAGGCAACCCATTATGGACTTACCCCACCACGCTTTTGCTTAAGTTGCAGCCTGGTTATCATTCAAATTTCTTTGTGCCCAGATATTTGTAAATTGCAGTGTAAATGGCCAATGTAGTTGCTCTCCTCTTTCATTCTCCTTCAACATGGCCTCTCTCTGACTCATTTTCTCTCCAGTTTCATTTTCTTCCCTTTCCATTGTTCTCTCACTCTCACGTCCTGCCCCATGGCTGCTCTGTGTCAAACACACTTATTCCTGTGGTAAAGCTGAATTCCCGATCTGCCATCTTACTTAGAAATTGTATTTCACTTCAGTGTGATGTGTTCACTTCCTGAAGTACTGGTACAAAGTTTAAGCAATGTCTATGGAATATTTCAATAAGCATGTGCAGCTAGGCCTTATGAAAATCTTGTGTGAAATAAGCATCCTTAAGGTTCCACATATTCTAAATGATAAGGTAGATCCATTTTGAGTTGAAAAAACTTTAAGCAGGAATAATTTCCTTTTAAAGAAACAGTGGTAGGCATCTGAAAAATAACTGCAGAATTTACTACAAGCCTCTGCCCTCAAAAGTCAATGACAAGGTGGGGTTGGAATTAAATTTCTCAAGTACTTGTCCAACATTCTCCAAATTCTTCTAGAACTTCTTTGAAACTCAGTGACTATTAAAACTGTTTATATAAGCAGTAAGAAACAATAGTAACACGAATAATCACCTGGCCTCTTTCTGAGGGTTTGACTTTTGGCTCCAAATTCAATTCCAAATCAGTAGATCTTTGTTGTTTCAAAACAGGTGTGGGATTTATTGGTGCATTAAACAATAAACACGTGTCTGGAAATGATTATGAGTCCTTTCTCCTTCTGCCAACGTGTCTGGAAGGGACTTCCATTCATTAAACAGGAATGGGTTTCTATAACTGTTGTCCCATGATCCTGGGAGATCAGCGGGGACCCAGTCCTTTACAGTCTGCCTCGTTGTGCTTTCCAGCAGGGGCAGTCTCCTCATCCAGGTCGTCATCGCACAGCATCCGTCCATCGGGGTCTCAGTTCTCCCAGGGTCCTCCCTGTAACTTTTTTTTCATCTCCCTTACTCTCCATTACAATCTTTCCCTCCCTTCTCTCTCTACTCGTTCCTTTTCCTCTCTCCTTCTCCACTCCCTCACCTCTGCTTCTCCCCAGTAAGAGGGTCTAGAGGGAATATCCACTCTTCTCCTATAATCTGCCTCTTCTTTTGGCACTCTTAATCTCTCCCATAATCCAGTCCAAGAATCCTGCATCCACTCCCAATCGGGTGGTAACTGGTCTTTCCCCCTCTATACTTTCCCCGTCCTTCACTCAAACTCCACCCTCCTCTTTCTCTCTCTCCCCGCCTTTTCTCCCTGAACCTCCCCTATCACTTTCTGTATGTCTTCTGCCACCTCCTCTATTGCTGTCTCCTGCTGAGGTTCCGCTGTAGGTCCTGGTGTGGGTTTGAGGTCCACTTCCTTAGTTTTGTTGTTGAGGAGGGACGGCTCTGCAGCAAGTGGGGTATCCCTCTCGCCCTCTGTCTCACACTCTTAATATTTTAAAAGTTTGTACCTTTGAAGATTTAAACTAAGTGACATTTGAGAAAAAGTTTAATACAATGGAAGTCAGATACATTTTAATTTCTAGCAAGGGCACCTCTTTGTCTAGGTTTGAAACTCACTAATTCCACCCCACCCCCCAACTGTCCATGCTCTCCCTCAACCCCAACACTTTCCCCTCTGCCATCCCAGTACTCATTTCCACTGATATGGAAACAGGACTCCCTTATTCAGAAGCTTGGGGATACTGATTTCACTATTGTATTTGTCCAGTTACTACAATTAAATCCAGTTACTACAATTGTGCTGCTTAAGACTTGGTGTGTATCATAACAAATAATTACTAAAGCTAGTTTTCGGAAATACCAACTTGATAAACATTGTGTGATAGGCAGAACCGACAAGGGGGCTTAGTGGAAAATAGATTAGCTACTTCATTTATAACCAAATGGAGTATATTTCATAGTTAATTTATATACTTAACAGAAAGTTCACAAGTGCCTATGATCAGGTACTACTGAAAGCTAATTATCAATATGTTGAAATTGAGCTCTGGGGAACCAATTTCAGGATATTAGCCAATCTACTCATTTAAGTTGAGAAATCAATGCACAACTTTGATGCTGACAATGAACTAAAGGGATTAGATACAGTGGGGTCTCTACTTAAGAACATCTCTACTTAAGAACAATCCAACTTAAGAACAGCTCCATTTGCTAAATTTTGCTTCTACTTGAGAACAGAAATCCAAGATAAGAACAGGAAAAAAAACTTTCCTGCTCTTTTTTTAACCTTAGGTCATCTTAGGTTAAAAAAAATTCTCCCCCTAGTGGTAGAGTACGTATTAACCAGCTTTGCATTAGTTCTTATGGGAACTAATGCTTCAATGTACGAACACACCTCTACATAACAAAAAAACAGCCAGAACGGATTAATTAGTTTTCAGTCCATTCCTATGGGAAATTTTGCTTCAACTTAAGAACGTTTCAACTTAAGAACACCATTCCAAAATGGATTAAGTTCTTAAGTAGAGGTTCCACTGTAGTTTCTATGGAAGGAAAAGAGCAGATACGGATTAAATGGTTTTGAATGCGTTACTATGGAAAATGCAGATTGAACATAAGAACTTTTCAACTTGAGAACCACCTTCCGATACGGATTAAGTTCTTAAGTAGAGACCCCACTGTATTTTGTTGTATACCAAATGGAGACTGCAGCTAAGAAATGAGAAGGCTAAAAGGGCAACATTGAAGGAACTAGAAAAGATCATCAAGTGTAAGGATGCGTCACTGGAGATGAAGGCCAAGATCATCCATACTACCATATTTCTTATCACCACATTTGGGTATAAAAGCTGGAGAGTAAAGAAAGCTGATGGGGGAAAATATTCATTTGTAATGTAGTGCTCAAGGAGAGCTTTGTGGAACTCCCTGGTCTGCCATAAAGACAGACAAATGGCTCCAAGATCAAACCTGAACTATCTCTGGAGGCAAAAATGAAACAGGCTGTCATATTTTGAGCACAGAGTGAGAAGACAGGATTCTCTGGCAAAGACAACACCAATGGGAATAGAGGAAGGCACCAGGAAAAAAGACCAAATACAAGATGGATTGGCTCCTAAAGGAAGTCACAGGGTTGACTTTGCAGGAGTTGGGCAGGACTACTGAGGACAGGATATTTTGGAGATTACCCATTCATGGGGTTGCTGTAAGTTGGGGAGACTTGGTGACACATGACATTATAAGAGTGGTCTTAACCGACCAGATAGGCTGGATATAAATAAAATAAATAAATAAATAAAATTGACTCTGGATGTTTTCTTACATTTGAAAGTCACTGAGAAACAGAATTGTCTTCTAGACAAACTGATTAAAAATAAATATGGTAAAAATAAGGTAGGATATTTAAAATACTTAAGATTCATATTACTCACCTTTTTATGTATGAAATGTTGTGATATGTACACCCGGAAATGTATTTCACTGAGAATTTAGGAAAATTTGAAATGACAAATTCTACCAAATAATGACAATAAAATATAGTAAAAGTGTAAATACTTTAAAAAGTTTATTTGTACAATACGTGTTAAGCAGAAAGCACAAGTCAAGTAAGGATGTTTAAAGATAGATATGTTTTCTAGAAGTTCTCAAGATAATATATACTTACCATAGAATTCACATATACATTTTTCAGAGGATTATTTGTACAAAAAACATACACTAATATGATGGAGAAAGCAACAGGATTTTAAAGTAAGGAGCAGTGTGCCCCCACAAGGCACCACTATACCATTGGTCAAACATTCCTCGCTTGCTCCTCATTTCATCTGCCCTTTGCTTCTTCCTTCTAGCCAGACAAGCAGCTAGAAGAATTTTCAAGGCACTCATCTCTGTGCTGCTAGCCCAGGAAACTTCCTGGACAAGAACAATGCAACATTGCAGGACTGCTGCTGGACAGTCTGTGTACCGACTTGACCAAATATGTGGAATTAGCTAACAGGATGGATGAACACTCTTGCTCTTTCCAGTCTGAGATGCAAATGTATTACCTTGTTCTACCAAGATATTAGAATGTAAAAGTGACCCTAGTCTGCATGACAGGAGAAGCCAGAACGCATGAGCTTCTACATTTTGGCCTCATGCATTAGTGTTAGTTTACCAGCAGTTTTCTGGAAAACAGTCTGACATGAGAACCACCACTACTCCAATAGATTTTAACAAAGATTCACAGTATAATGAGTTCCCCAAACAAGAACTGGAGATTTCCCCATGATCTGGCAGCATGTTATGACGCATAAAGAGAATTCAATAAAATATCTTATTAAAAAGCAAATATCCTAAGTTAACACTGCTTGCTGTTGAAGTATAGGATGGTTCACATTATAATTCAAAGCTTCCCTCATAATACCTTATAGATATTGCACTGTTATACTTCAGCTGTAAATTCTCATTCTCATTCCAAAGACTTATGAAACTGTAAAAAAGTAAACTTAGCAATTTTGTGCAGTCTTCAGCATTGCATCTGAGTAGTTGGAATTTGCAAAACCTTCATTACAACTACAGTAGCCTAAGCACAGTGGAATTTTTGCCCAGCTGCCTTTCTTATACAGTACAGAAACTGACTATCCAGTCTTTAATCTTCACACTTTGAGTTTCCTCTTCTGCTCAAAGTAGGCATCAAATCTTGACAATGCATAGTCCTAAGGGATGAAAACATTACAGCTGAAGTTACTTAGCCATCTTGCATGCCCCAATATTAGTGCACAAAAGTAATACTAAGATGTTACACACATTATAGGCTAAAAAGGCTACAAAATCCTCTGATCTGTTTTACCAGAAATAATGCTATCAAGGCAGAAACTTGTCTTGACTACAGCTGGATTACAAGTGTCAAATTACACCTGACAGTAATTGCTAAAATAGGGATGTGGTGGATAATTTACATTCCTACTCAAAGCTTTGCCATTATTCTAAGCTTTGTTTTGGAAAGAAGCTGACAAGCAACAATAAGACGACAGAATTCTGAGAGTATTAAGCAATGTTCATTTCTTCAATTCTTGGGCGGGGGGAGGGAACAAAGCAAAGTATCTGGTTATGAAATCAGATGGCATTTTTAGTATTAAAATAAGAACCCATCGAAGCAGAGATGGAAAATCTTCAGAGCAAATGTCCATCCCATTAAAAACTCTTCAGCATTAAAAATTGGAAATGGAGGAGTATATAAGAGTATGTATGTGATGTTCTGGACTAAGGAGGTGCTGATTTTTCCACTAGCTGGTTTTCATGCTCCTTGTGTGGTGACAGGCACCCTTTTACACCCAAAATCCTAGACATCACACTGCTTAGTGTCACTAAAGAAGAGACGTTAGGAAGAACAACCTTCAGAACATGGCCAAAGAACCTGAAAAACCCACAACAACCAAAACAATCAAACTTAACAATTCTATTTAGTCCCACACACTTTGCTTGACTCTATGACTGTGTCCTTATACCTTGACTTTTACACCCATTTACTGCTTGAATGTGAACTCTGAGACCCTTTCCCATTTTGAATTTGGCCCCTGGGCTGAAAAGTTCCCAAATCCTAGAAAGTGAACTAGTGGAGGCTATTATGCTTCTAAAAGTTATGCTTTGCTGAGTGGCGGTCAAACAGAATGCTAAACAAGATAGGACTTAGAGGGGATTTAACATGCATCGGAATGTCCAGAGACCTTTGGGTAGTGTGGGCGTCATATAAATTAAATAAAAATAAATATTAATAATTATTACATTGTTAAATATGCAAATATTTGACACTCAAGGAGAGTCATTTCAAAAGACATACCATGTATCCAAACTCAATAGATGATAACTTTGCCTGTATGATGGACCACAAGCCCCACAGGAAATGCGAAGCAAGGGCGAACCTGTCAGTAATAAACAAAAATGTTTTTTATACACTTCAGTTTCTATATGTATGAAATTTACACTTCCCTCAGGGGACAAGAATGGCACAAGGCAAAGGCTACATGACATTCACAGGCCACATGAAATGTCCTTCTTTCTGCAACCCCTTTCCAGAGTTTCTACTGTTGTGACAATGGAACAAAACCTCTCCTGTTGCCACAATGCTGCTGAAATTTGGTGTACTGACTTTTAAAAGTTTTATAAAATACTATTTGTTGCAAAGCAGTGACTGCAACCACCAGTAAGTTAAGCAGACGGATGCAGTGTGAATTCCCAACATATCCTAAAGTTTCCCACTTCTGTCTAACATTTATTGTTAACAGTCTGTTCATATTCTGAATGAGAAAATAATTGTAATTGTATTTCATGAGACACACAATTACAGCTTCTTCAAGGAAGATAATTAAGGATATGTTCACTTTGCTTCTGGAGATCTTTTAAACCTATTAAACATACACAGTCCCATTATGTCAGTTAATCAGCAGGCAAAATTATGGCTAAGTAGTCCATGTACTCACTATCTGTCCTGCTTTTTTTGTATTTAGGATCGCTTCCTGACAAGTAACAATGAATCTGAGCTATTCTAGAATAGCTGCTAGATTAAACATTAGAGACACCAGAAGTGGGCAAAGTATTGATATTGGACTACAATTATCATCAGCCCTAACCAATACAGCTATTGATGAATAAAGCTGGGAGCTGCAGTTCAGTAATACCTGGAGGGTCACACTTTTCTGATTGCCGCAGTTCAATCTCATTTAAAATGGTATGTTCAATCTACACTTTAACCAAGGCCAACTTCCCGTAACAGTATCACATATGGTATATTCAGAATGAAGACAAGGATTACCTATTTACTTCAATCAACATTTCTTCCTCTATTTTGGATTTATCTTCATTGCTCAGATTTTCAAACCCACTCTGAGACACAGCTAGGTAACTGGAAATGAAATGGAGCTAAAAAAGGACAGAGAGCAGACAGAACCGCAGCTTAATATTTTTAGTGCTGATGTGAAGTAAACAGTGTCATTTATTCAACGTTTGATACAATTCCAAATCTTGTACCATACAAAGTGCTCATTTCAGGTTCATATTAGTCTAGTGCTTTGTACTTCAAGTTTTGCTTTAACAAATCTGTATGAAGGTCCTTAATCTAATTCAATACCTAATCTAAATAATCTGATTTAAGCATTTTGGTCTATTACATAACTGCTATTATATATATATGAAAATGGACACAAATAATGTCATTAAGAGACACTCTAAATAATTTAATAAAATGCCTCTCTCTAGAGCTGAATCTCTTGAAAAATGAACTGAAACTTCAAAAATTTATTCCAAAGCACCCCAAATTGTGGACTCCTCTGCAGCAAATTGAAAACTGCTATTATGGTTTTTAAAATGTAGTGGGATAAACCATACATTATAAACTCTTACACGATACCAAATATTCAAAAAACAAACATAATTACTGTAAATTGGAAAGATATTAAGATACTGCTGAAGATATAAAATAGAAGTCTGATATGAAACCTTCCTTCATATGCAGTAACATTTAAAATGCAGTTGAACTTGAAGTTTAGACACAGAACTCAAAAGCAATTCTACTTTATTCCTTACTTGTTGCTTCTTTGTGGGATAATTCAAGAAGCTGGCTTTGAAGAAGGGGTATTTCTCATACACATAGTCATACATCCATTCACAGAAATGGTTTGCAATGTCAAACCCTCTAAAATATATGGAATAAACAAGATATGAGGAATATTTTTTAAGGTTACAAAACACAAACACACAAAAAAACTTCCTGCTCCTTGCTAGCAAATTAACAGTTAATGAATGTTTACTCATTCATATTGTGAATATGAATAAATCTGATTTAAGCATTTTGGTCTATTACATAACTGCTATTATATATATATGAAAATGGACACAAATAATGTCATTAAGAGACAGTCTAAATAATTTAATAAAGTTAGTAATCAATTCTACTTTCTATCCCATGGAGGACATCTCTTAAACTATCTTTTCAGCAAAAACTGGGCTGAATCCTAGTCTTTGCACATATAAAGTATGTGTTCTACTCGCTATTACAGCAATATGTTGCCTTTGTATGTTGCAAACACACACAATCCTGTATGTTTTTATATAATCAGTACCAGATTTAAATTTAACCAGGTATTACTAGAAGTTCACTATTAGCACACCAAGAATCCACTGTTTCCATAGTTCACTAGTCAACATGAACAGGTTACCTGAAAAATGGAACACACAGTTGAACAAGCCTAGTATCATTCTGAAATTGCTCCATTAACCTTTAAGTGAATATATGAGGAACTAAGCTAAGGATCTTAGAGACACAACACACAAGTGCTATCAAAGATATTTATGAAGATATTTATGTGTTGATAACCCAGAAATGAGATTTTGTCCAATACTTTGTTTGGATACAGCAAAGAGAAGAAAATAACAAAATAGAATAGCCATTAGTCACACTGGTCAAAGCTGATCCAAGCAGTCATCAAAAACATCTGGAGGGCACCAAACTGAGGAAGGCCAGATTGGAACTTCAAACTGTCTGTTGCTGTTAATTATGCTAAAAATGAGCTTTCAACTGCCTTTAAAAGAACTAAACAGAGAAATGTGAGTTTACTCATCATATCCACACTGATTCAGTGGGCCTATTCTAGTGCAACTTACTGCACTAAGCAACAGAAATTCAGCCAGCCTGTCTTCAAATGTAACATCCAGAAACAAAGAATTTGCTCTCTGACTTAGGTAAACACTGGTGTTCTAAGTGAATCAATAGCAGGCAAAATAAATGTGGGCAGACACAGTTCTGACAAATTAAGTATTTCTAACCTTGCATTTTCACTAGTTTGAGAACAGCAGAAACATCTAACATTTACCTGTAATTGTAACTGCTGTATTCAAAGTCAATTAACATCAGTTTTTGCTTCTCAGAATCTTCTCTGCCTTCAAGCAGCAAGATATTTCCTGTGAGAGAGAATAAAGAGAAATATAAATTAAGAGGAGTATAAAGTAACAAGCACTCTGAAGGATATAAAATCAGTTCCTGACAATACTGCAGCCTAAACATGTGAACTCAAGTATCAAATATTCTGACTCTTGAATATTAATAATCACCACAAAATGTCCTATTAATGCAAATGTTCACCATGACAGTGAATGGGCTATGTGCATGAAGGTTTCGTCTATTACAAATACTTCAAAGTATCTGTGTGAGCCCAATCAGTGATGACTGTCAACTAACCTCCAACTGACACATGCTTTATCTTTTTTGTTGGTAAGAGTGAGTAGGAATTACGCCATATAACAACTGTTAATAAAACGTGTGAATTCTAACTCATTACTGCCTGGGGACTAAATAAATCTACCAAATACTTCTGTACATCCCAGGTTTCTTTTTTATACAGTGTAATGTAATATTGAGAAGATACCTCTTTTGGCACTACAAACAGCTTTCTGGTCCTATCTAGGATATTTTATATTATATAACTCTATAACATAAGCAGGTCTCACTATAAAAGTTTCCCAGGGCTACAGAAAATTATTTTGACACAGGTCAAATTATTTTCCTTCTTACTCAGATATGTAACGTAATTCAACTGAATAATGACACTATTTACTGCACTAAACACTATTGTCATCTACACTGTCGCTTCAAGACCTCTGCAGTGTTTTACTATTTCTCCAATTTTAGGAAACTCGCACCATACTGACAACTATGGTGTAGAATCTAAACCAGTGGTTCTTAACCTTTGTTACTCGGATGCTTTTGAACTGCAACTCCCAGAAACCCCAGTCAGGACAGCTGGTGGTGAAGGCTTCTGGGAGTTGCAGTCCAAAACTCCTGAGTAACCCAAGGTTAAGAACCAGTGATCTAAACTAAACAGTGGTAGAAGAGGAAGCAAGCATTAATTTAAATTAGTGATTTTATTTTGTAAAAGGACTACATTTCATTCTTGAAAAGTTTTAGAACATCATAAGAGTGCAAGATACAAAACACGATACCTTCTTGGCAGTCATTATGGCAAAACACAACTGGAGATGGAGTAGCTTCTAGCAAGGACCTGGAAAAGCAAGGCAAAGTGTTTCATTAAATAACGGTGACCAGTAATTAAAAGACAACTATAATTGTTTGCAATTTCTCATTTTCTGTAAGCAGACAACTCTGCATACTGTCTTCCCAGAATTAATTCAGAGACCAAATTGGTTATTTCAACAGACCCTTTCAACTTTCAATTCCTAAAGTCAGAGGTCTGTAATACCTGCCCTTTTCTATGCCTACTCAAATCTCCAAGAAAAAGGCAAAATTTGGAAGTGAAAGACCTCAGTTAAACACTTGTTGGCTCTTTTCATTCTAGAAACACAGCTGGTAAAATATTCACAACTACTGTCTGAAGGCTTCAGATAATCAGTTATATTTTTGAGGAAAAGAGGTACAAAAGTTTTGTGATCACATTATCAATGCCTAGTTTAATCTGGTTGTCTCTATGGATCCGCAGGCAAACACTTTCGACAAGTTGCCTAGATTGCAGAAATATCCTGATCAAGGTCACTGAATGTGATAAAAAAGTGATAAAAGCAAAACTGGAAGCTCATCACATGGGGTACTCTTACAAAAGTAACTTCTCATCTAAGCAATAAAAATTGTCAATCAACTGCATTTCAAGCATACAGCAGATGTTTAGATATATCTTTTTCTAAGTAGAAAACTGATTCAGTCACAATATTAACAGAAAGTGTTTACAAGTTCTTAAGTTAAGAATTATGCAAGAATCAGTCAATCACAAAATGGATTTGCAGATGAAATGTAGTATTTTTAAGACTCAAAACAGTACCGTAGGGTTTTCATTTCTTGAGGTAGGTTGTAACTGAGGATCTTATTCAGTTTTCTAACACGTGACTCCCTGGTAAACTTGATTCTCATCACTTGGTTTAAGTACCTGTATAAATATATTTTTTGTTCAGTCAGTACTTGTAAATCGCAATGGCCAAAACAGCTCCCTGACCCCAACCATGTTGTAGTATTCTCAGAAGATAATAACAGCTAGAGCCATTATTTTAAACTATTTCTTTGCCACAACAACAGCCTTGGTCATATGAGGGGAATGTTCTCTAGTTATCCCCCCAGTTAGTTTGTTGCTTTTTTTCCTGGGCACATGACACACAGTCAAGATTGAGACATTTTCCCAGCCATCAGTACTTGTATAATTGTGGAAAATTTCCCCATCACCAGGAGGTTTGTGCTATTTCACATCTTTCTTGTGCTGGTACAGTCCTTACTGGGATTGCTTGTGTGCATGTCCTGCCCTGCTTCTTTTCAGAATTGAACCCAGAAAGGCATGCACATAAAAAAAAATCGGGCTGATACATTGCTAAAAATATGTCATCAGGCGGGCTCTGCCATTATATTACTAGCAAATTTATTCTATGGGAAGATACACTGAAACATTGGTATGCCAATGTCACCCTGGGGTGGTGACTGCCAGTCACGCTGTGCAGATATCCCAAGTCTATTGTGTGCAGGAGCAGCCAGTACAACAGAGGACACTTTCCTAAACAGAACACCCTTACCAATCAATGTTCCCTCTAATTTCCACCCCCTCATATGCGAGTCCGTGGGTTTCTGTTGCAACTGGAATGAAAGAGGCTGAAAACAATTGCTGTAGATGCACAATGGAAGAAGAAAAGCTGTCCGTGTGTGTGTGTGTGAAGAGTCAAGCACTTTAGAGGGAACCTTGGTAATGAAAGGTATATTTTCATCATAATAAAAGGAAGCAAAATTCTACTTATCTATTTACAGTCAAACCTCGACTTACGGATATCCCTACTTGAAAACGTTTCGACTTGCGAACGGCTGATAGAAAAATATTGCTTCAACTTGCACACAGAGCTTCGACATAAGAACAGAAACAGGCAGGGAAAAAAGGCGGGCAATTCAACTTTCTAACTATAGGTGGCGCTGAGGCTGCTTCTTTGTGCTGTAGCTCTGTCGGCCATTATAGGGTGTGTTGCAGTTGAGGGAGCTCCTGCTTTCCGAGTGAGCCTGTGTGTGTGTCTGCAGGGTGGTAAGCTGCTGTTTTCTCCTATTAAAAAACTTCTGGGTGGGTTTTGGCTGGGGCAGATATGTTTCTGTGCTGTTTTGTTGGTGGCTTTTTCCCCCCTTAGTGCCTCAGCAAGGGAGCTGAGTTTACTGTTTGTTGTTGGAGGCTTCCCCCATCTAAAAAACCTCAGTACCTTCCGTTTCTTCGGCTGGAACGGATTAATCGGTTTTCAGTGCATTCCTATGGGAAATGGTGCTTCGACCTACAAACGTTTCGACCTATGAACGCCCTTCCAGAACAGATTAAGTTTGTAGGTCAAGGTTTGACCGTATTTTATTTAAAGTACTGTATCCTTTACCCCACCTTTCTCTTTAAAATAGCTCCAAGGCTACTTACCATCATTAAAAGCTAACAATGGTGCATACTAAAAAGGATCAAATAAATACCATATTAAAGCATAAGCAGTAAGATACAAAAATCCATTTTAAACCCCAAGCAGGCAGCCAATCACTCAGGGAAAGCTTGCCTGAAGAGAAACGCCTTTGCCTGCTTGCTGAAGGACAGCAAAGATAAGGCTAGGCTAGCCTACTGCAGGAAGGAGTTCCAAAGACTGGGAGCAGCAGCAGAGAAAGACTTCTTTCATGTACCCATCAAACATACCTGTAAAGGTGATGAGACTGAGAGAAAGGCCTCTCCTGACTATCTTAACACTCAAGCAGGCTCATAAAGGCAGATGTAGTCCTTGAGATAGCCTGAGCCCAATCTGTTTAGGGCTTTATAGGTTAGAACTAGCACTTATTCTGTTTAGAAGCAGATCAGCACCCAGTTGATCTGCTGTAACAGGAGGGTTAAAACATCTCCCACCTGAGCTTCAGTAAGAGCCACTCTACTTAGATATTAAATTCTTATGTCAAATAATAAAAACGAAACAGCAAGTGCTTACTTTTCCATTGTTCCAAAAAGCCATTTTGGTTCTTTATTAAATGGCATTTTCATACCATGAAACCTAGCCATTTTCTCAGCTATTTCTGCTGATATATCAGGCAAACCTAGTTCTTCTGTGTTCAGCTTTCTACTCTGAAAAACAGAGCACAGTAAAAATTGAATAAGAATATATTTCATGGTAATTTCAGATCACCAAATCAATTATCAATATACCTGTGACATAATGACAAGCAAATATCAGGAAGTTAAGTAAGTGACCGAAGTACATTTCTCACTTTTGTTTTCAGTGTTACAGTCTACCTTGAAGGGTAGTTCTTTGCTACACTGCAGAATGCTCCACATGTAATTCCCTTTACTAAAGTGTTTTAAAACATTAAATCTAGAAAACATGAGAAAACAACTTTCTAAACCTTATGGACTATTTGGCTTAGCTCAATGGGTGGGGGGAATCTTAAGAAAGTTTAGGTAGAATTTCAATATCCTTGTGCAGGAAGGGCACTGGAAGGGTGAAACCATGTAGTGATTTTACGCATTTGCATTTGATTTTAGGGTTTTAAAGTGTGTACTTGGAGCCATTTCCTTCATACTGCAGATCTCCTATCTAAGTCAAAGTCAGACTCTGTTCTTATTTCACTTCAAAGAGACACTTGTATTATTCTTTGTCTCTGCAAACAACTCCTGCTTATGTGCTGCTGAAAAGAATTTGGTGTGTCATGAATCACAGCCCCTTCATAAGATTTCCCCACCCATTTGAGAGAATGGTAGATAGGGGGGTTATATATACAACTGTATAACTGTTGCAAAATCTAATTATAGTATCATATTACAGTAGTGCCCCGCTTAACGATTACCCCATATAACGACGAATCCGCTTCATGATGATGTTCCCATAGGACGATGTTTTTGCGATCGCAAAACTATGTTGGGTTTTTTTCGCTTTGCAACGATCGGTTCCTTGCTTCGGGAACCAATTCTTCGCATTACGCCGATCAAAACAGCTGATCGTCGGGTTTTCAAAATGGCCGCCGGCTGCTGAAAATGGCTCCCCACTGTTTTTAAGAGGCATTTTTCACAAGACAGGCACCTGAAAATGGCCGTATGGAGGATCTTCGCTGGACGAGTAGGTATTTCGCCCATCGGAATGCATTAACCGGTTTTTAATGAGTTTCATTGAGTTTTTTAATTTTGTTTGACGTTTTCACTCTACAGCGATTTTGCTGGAACAAATTAACGTGAAGCAAGGCACCACTGTACAAAGATCTATTAATGTATCATGGCAAATACTTCCCACTTTTCCTAAACACTTCCCACGTTTGCTTTTCATAATGGTCTACAGAGAACAGTCATATTCCATTGCAATTGCTATTATATTAACAACTGGGACTCACAGGAATGAATTCCTCCAGCCGGCCTTGTGGAAAAATTCCATATAGCTTTGGTCCAAGAGCTCTTTCCGCAAGAATGGCAAACATAACACTCTCTAGAACCACAGCTTCTGCACCCTAAAGAAGTCAAAGAAAATTAGCTGGCACAACTCAATTCCTAATTAGTCACACATACAAGATTTAACTCATCTCCTCTTCCAGATTCTGGACGTTTTCCTCCACTTTTCAGGCAGACATGGAAGTCCTAATGACACTGGCAGACAGGGACTCTATTGCGGTAGCCACAGTCCTCCATTCAGCTTTAATGGGCAAGCAATGGGGACATTCTGATGCATTTCTGACAACTCTTCTCTGGCAGCTTGGGATGGACAACCTCCCCACTCTTCCTCCAGTGTGGCAAAGCCATGGAGGGTGGGTGGGCTTTGCTATCTCCCTCACACAGCAGGATAGTTTGGGCCAGAAATGAGAAATTACGTCTGCAAAGGTTTTACCCATTTAGTACGACATAATGAAGTCTTGGCTTGTACTTTGATTCAAATATGCAATTGCTATAAACCCACATAATTCGTCAGTAGAAAGAGTACAGTAATTTAAATTCAGAAGCCTCTTTACTGGAATCAGGAGCCTTGCTGGACAGTGGCTAAACCGCTGTACTGCAGCCAAAACTGTGCTCATTACCAGGGGTTCTATCCCAGGTAGCCAACTCAAGGCTGACTCAGCCTTCTATCCTTCCGACGTCGGTAAAATGTACCCAGCTTGCGGGGGGGGGGGGGTGTATAGCCTGCATAATTAACTTGCAAACTGCCCAGAAACTGCTTTAAGTACTATGGGGTGGTATATAAGCAGCACACTTTGCTTTGATCTCATGAATGATTAAATGTGCCTTTAGAAATCAAGACTTTTTAAAAGGAACAAGATCTAAGCAATCTAAAATGAACTATATTTAGGTTTAACTTCCAACACCTTCAGTCTTATAGTTGTATATCTAAAAGGAAAATCAGCGTAAAACTGAAAGGCAAGATCTACAGTTACAAAGTTGTTAAGAGAAACGCCTATTCCTCAGAATCCTCCTTCCTATAAGTAGACTTGCTGGTAGGCAATAATACTGCAGGCTGAGGCTCTTTTCTGTTAAGTGGGTCTGGATGAGGCAGCAGCTCCAGCCTTTAATCTCAGATGGATTTATGATAGCAAAACATTACTGTACCTTGCTGTGTGAATCAAGGCAATACATAATGATATATAAAAACAACTGATGTAGTGTGGGGCAAAATAGAAGGATAACCTCTTAGAACAACATCCAACACAAATATTAGTCCAATATGGAAAAAAAAAACTAAATACGTACTTGTAAATCATTTTCCTTTTGAGCTTGTCCAGATCCTCCTTTATTACAGGACCTCTATGAATGAGAAAGGTCAACATTTACAATGAGATGTTGAAAAAACACAAATAATATCTTGCAACCACCACAATTAAGAAAGCTATGGGGAAAAGCTACACTTAGAACTATTTACTTGGCACTAATCTGGAATTATCAGATATCTTAACACAACTCCTCTCCCAGTTGCCATGAGACATCATTCCACAAACTTCAAAAAGGATGTGCCACTGAATTCCAGTGTATCAATCTGCCTATAATGACACAACAGACGAGACCACTAGCATGAGATGTGGCCATCTGACTGACAACAGCAGCTAGGAACCAAACATTCCTCATATATGCAAACACAGAGATTTGGGAGATACAAACACATTTTTACTATAAACCAGTTTTGCCACAAATATGTCAAGTGAGCAAGGCAGCAGCACAAGGATATACAAACACTAGTTTACAGTTAATATTTCACCTGATCTTACAATTACAAAGGCACTCACTTATCCTAGTATCAACTTGTCGACAGACCTCTTTTCTAGTGTAAACAAACAACAATACAGTATTTTAAGCAATTTGAGATATCATCTTAGGACACTTTTCAAATAAATGTAAGCAAAGCATTAACCAGTTTCACATTTTACTAACTGCAATGAATTTATTAATCCTTATCATCAAGTATTTTCTAAGGTTCCAAGTTGTGCTTTAATGTCTGAACTCAATGGCACATGCTTTTACAATAATTGCACCTATAAAATGGAGCAAGAATGCAAGCTTTGTACTCCATTAAGGAATTCAAAGCAATAAAACAAAACATGATGTTTCAATGGCCTTGTTCCATTCAAAGCACTATGGCTACTAACACTGCAATTCTGTAACACATTGCCTAACAACTATACTGAAAAGCACTCAAAGGAAGCCTTTGACTAAAAATATAAATGCTAATAAAAGCAACAGAACAAAGTATACTATTTCTGCATTGGCATCTCTTTTCCAAGGACCAATTTAACAAAGAGCCAGCAACAGCTTAGGTAACACCCAAACTACATAATTTCTCACAGCTTATTTGCTTCAAGTTGAAATAAACCATTTGCCACAGTACAGTGATTCTTCCCTTAAAAATACAATAAATTAGCAAGTATAGGTAATAGTACTGTAGAACTACCTTCTTTCCAACAAAAGCATAGATTATCTTGAATATTCGCAAGAGGAAGTTTAGAACTGTATACAATTAATATTTGTTGTTGTTACTACTTACTATATTGTTATACAAAAATATTTCTATCACTGACCATTTTCCCCTCAACTTGCAGCTCCTTGAACAGCGGTCAAAGTTGCACATTACCCAAATAGTTTGTTTGCTGCTCCCCTATGATGGTATAGTCTATCAGAAGCAAACTGGATTAAGAGAAATTTTATCATGGACCTTAATAGGCACTCATGTTAACTTGATCAGATCACAGAAGTAGACTCCTCATCAGTATCTTTATACTTTTGAAATAGGTGCCCAACTAACCTTTAAATTATCCTAGTGGGATGAGTTTTGAAGTGAGCCAAATTGGAAAAGAAAAAGGGAGAGGTAGGCTATCAAAATATTATAACAAAAGCTACATTGCCCTTCTAGTCTCTCAGTCCAAATTAATTAGGAGAAGACAACGATACTGAGTCCATGAGACTTGTTTCTAGGGACTTGCTATTTTGTTTTTGTTTTTTACTACAACTCCCAGAATTCTGGGAAACAGTTCCCAAACCCAAATCTACAGATCTCTAGAAAACAGCTTTCAGGTTTTTTTTAAAATCTCCGACGTATGCTGACTTTATTTTCCCTCACTCTCTCTTCTTTCCTACGATGTTGCTTCCTGGGAGCTGTAGTTCATTGAAGCTAACCTCTAAAGATTAATGGGTGGCAAGATTCCCACCATTGTCCATGCAAAGATCAGTTACATGATCGCTGGCATAGTTGACTAACCCAGCACAGAGGATGCAGGGAGTCGCAGTCTTGCTGCCCGCTAGGCTCTATGAGGGTGCCTTCCAAAGAACTATGACTCCCAGGAAGCACTGTGGCATTAAGGGGGAAGTGAGAGGAAATGAAGTCAGCACTGAAGGTAACAAACTTGAAAAATCTTCTCTAAAAGTCTGCAGATTTGGGTTTGGCAGATGTTTCTCAGAATTCTGCCTGCAAATTATTGGAGAAATCTGGATGTTGCAGTGCAAAAACACAGAAGAGAACACAGCTAGTATCTAAATAACTGGTTTTAAGATTCATCTCCCAAACTATTAGTTTACTTCAGCAGACTTCCATATAATGAAAAACATTGAGTGTAGCAGCTGGATTTCTGCACAGGCAAAAAATGGCAGGCAATTCAGATGGTCTGCAAGTATTAATGCTAACAAGATTTTGCTGAAGTGTTGCTTCAAGGAATTCTGAGGCAAAAGTCACCGAATCAGTATGTTTACATTTCAGATTATATGTCTAAGCAGCAACCCACTGCCTTCTTAATAGGCAGACAATGGCCAAGCTCCAAGAAGATTACAATAAAGTTGTATAGTTCTTAACAAAAACAATGGTAAAAGAGGATTATATTGCATAATAAGGCTGTTGGTAATGATTTGAACCAAGCAGCAAGGACCACAGATGAGCAGGTATCTATTTAATATGTCTGCAGCTTCAGAAATCATGCTGTCTCCTTCCTGCTTGTTAACAAGAACTGATCAACAGTTAAGAAGAATTCCTGTGCAGACAGGTAATCTCTAAACACATGGAGCTGCTACTAACTTGTCTTGTTTTTCATAATAGCCCACAATTGACTGGTGAAGCAAGAGACATGGAATATATGAAATTGGTTTACTTTTGTAGTATTAAAAAATACCATAAGACTCTTTCATATAAAACTGAGATGCAGTGGCTCCCTCTTTAATTATTATGGGATACAATGCATGTTTTTTAATACCATGAGGCGCATTAAAAATGAAAGTCAGGTGCAACACTAATTCAGCACCCAAACTAAACTACTAATATTCATTATTGCATATTATTGTACTTTAGTCTGAGGAAATCAAGTTCAGTTTTCTTCTACTTACATAGAGCAGACTAAGGCAGCATTTCCAATTGGTGACCATATGAATCAGACTATAAATACAACATCCAAAATATAAAACTGGTTCTAGTTGTACTGGGTTTTCATGTAACATTAACAATAATGTATCTCACGTTTTCTGTTTGTGGGTGGAAAAAGCATTTATTGAGATTGGGAATCTAGACCACCAATACTTAGACCCAGTTCAAGATGCAAGTACAGAATTTAGGAGCATACTTGCAAAGAGGCAATCATAAAGGTTATTGAGACAAGTCATATCAAAAAAGTCATTGAAAATTTGGCATATTTATCTTGTGGAGCTCCCAGAGGACACAAGCAGACTCACACCTAACCTTTAAAAAAGAAACAAACCAACTACGGTGAGCCATAGCCTCTGGTAGTTTCATATCCAATTCTGTATTTCAGCCCCAAAAAGAAGGTACAGGAGGTGCAATATGGGACTTAAATTTCTGAAGTGTCAGTATCACTTCAGGAAAAGGATAATAGGATGAGTTATTGATTCAGGTCCTATAAAACCCAGGGACATTCCTAATCCTTTTTACTTCTGATCAAGTTACCATTCTTCTAAGGGAGCAGAAAGAAGGAAGTACAGTATGTCTAATTCACTACTTTGGCATTCACAGCTCCCATTTAACTCTGAATATTATAACAACGTTCATGACAAGCATTTACAACATCTCTTCACTCTGAACCATAAAGAAATTAAACCCGTAGAGAATGCTCCAACTTCAGAGATCTCATACTATACCGTGAATCGTGTCTGTCACCTGGAAACCAGAGTGCTCTAGGCACGATCGCATGGACAAGCCTGCAGCAGAGAACACATGCACATACAACTAAAATGGTACATTACCCTCAGATGACCCTTAATGCCACCCAACAAAACAAATGTCCCCTTAGCAAGATTTCTGCTATCAGACTATCTGCCAATAAAAGGTGTCTGCAGTTACTCCATGCTACAAGACATTAAGAGCAAGAATCACATCAGTAATAGAGTATTAAGAGTACAGGATTCTATACCCTGTTTCCCCAAAAATAAGATCTAACCTGAAAATAAGCCCTAGTATGATTTTTCAGGATGCTCATAAGCCCTACCCCAAGAATAAGCCCTAGTTAAGTGAAACCCCACCCTCCATCATTGTGCAGCAATCAGAAAATGACATGACTGTATTTGAATAAATGTAGATTGCTGTACATGAAAAAAACAAAACATCCCCTGAAAATAAGCCCTAATGCGTTTTTTGGAGCAAAAATTAATATAAGACCCTGTCTTATTTTCGGGGAAACACAGTAGTCACTTAGTTCCAAACAATACCACAGAATTAAAGTCAATACTCTGCCAATCTTGTTCTCTGTATGACCAAAACGACAAAGGCTACAGGAATACTACATAGCCTTAAATGGTTCCTGTTGTATGAAGTATTCTGATTCGGCTGTGACTAACAGCAGAACTAAGTTTCACACATGGAGATTAAGGACAGAAAGGAAGCTGTAATTCCCAGTTCTCTGAGCAACAGAAACTTCTGCTATAATTAAGTACCACTTTAATACAGTGATCACAGCAATGTAATAAATTTTAATTTCTTTAAAGGTACAGTATTAGCTCAATTTCAAGTTGCTCTGACAAATAAATGCCTTTATGGCTTAGAAACCAACCAGTGGTAGTTTCCTTATTGCAAAAAAATTAAAAATAAATAAAATTAGTGATTTCCAAAAACGAATCCTTTAAAGTTGAGCATGGAGGCCAAAAGCAATTCCAATTAATTTCTATGCACAAAAATGATTTGCTGCTATGAAGGCATGTTCTTTCCATTTGATAAAGGAAAGGAAACTAAAATGCAGCACAGGGATTTGCCTTTCAAGCACACTAATGTTTAATTAGAACCTCAATTTTTCTAAAGGACATACAGTATAGAAGTCTTTTTTAAAAAAACTAGCTCAACTGTGTGCTCATAGATTCTCTGAATTAATTTCAGGCTGATTGACAACAATTTTTACACAGATCAACCAGCTCAGCTCAATTCCCGGCTTTATATCATACATGTACAAATAAAACCTACTATGACTAAACAAGGCCCCATTCTCTTTCTTCATAATAGCTTTAGCCAACTTAAACAATTTATATTGAACAGTATGTACTGACATTTGTATTTTCCAGAAACTTATGATAAGCAAACTACAGTCACATTCAGTCTGTAAATAATAGTGTATTTCTTTTTTGCTACGTATTTTCCTATATTTTAAAATTCTTGATATAGGAGATAAAATAAAACTTTGAACTGTAATTTTTAAAAAATTTGATAACAATAGAAATGTATTCTGTAAGAGCCAGCCACATAATATAATTTACATTCTAATTGAAACCTTCTACTTCTATTGGGTCCAAGGTCTTTTGCCACTCAAACGGCAAACAGAGATCAGTTTTAACATAGGAAAAATAATGGATTATCTATACCTGTAATTAAAAACTTCATCCTTAAGACTTTGATAAATACTAACTGTTCTGATTTTTTCTTTGCTCCTATATAGAAGCAAATGAACAAATTTTCTGAGAATCTCAAAAAATGGAAAATGACAGCAAAACAGTTTGCTTATGCATTAAATACTGATCTGGAAGAGACAAATGTTTAAAGCTGAGATCCTCAATATAATCTGAAAGTTTTACCTTAGGACTGTTTCTGCTTACTTAACCCTTAGTGAACTGCACCAAGAGCAGTCATTTCACTGCCACTATGGAAATAAAGGAAATTAGATATCTTGGAAGATCTTGCATATGAAGAAAAATAGTTAGGATGTTAACATTCAAATGAATGGCCAAATTACTCTGAAGAAAACTCCAGACCTCTTGTCTGATTTTCTTCATGAATTAATACAATAGGTATGTTAAAAATTTGGAAGCTGAGGGACAGCAGAGATTTGCCTATGTTCTGAGTATGATTCTTCAAGTGTGGATATTCAGAGTATTATGATTACAACATATGTGCTAGAAAATCTACAGGAATTAATATCAAGGTCCTCAAAACCAATTAATTTTTTCTACATTGACATCAGCAATCATTGCAATGCACTAAGTTCTACTATCTACTTTGAGGTAGCTTAATTTTTAAAATTTAATCAGCCAATTTGTTGAAATTTTAATAAAACTATATGGCTTAAAAACTATGTCAATTCAGTACCCAGAGTTAATGTAATTAAGTTAAGCTGGTAGTCCTAGTTACCAATACTTCAGGCCACAATTTCACTGTAATATACTGCGTAAGATGAACAAAAGGAAAATGTATTTGTACTTGCAGAATTCCAAATGAAATACTTTGTAATATAAATAGAATAGAAGGTTCACACAATCAGTCACTAATTCATGCCCTGGTAATACTTTCTGAATATTTTCAGTTACATGAAATCATGTATGCCTTTTTATTTCACCACACGGACATTAAATATTTAAGTTATATGAGTCTGAGGACAAATAGAGACTGCTTAGAAACCAAATTAAATGCTCACTATAAGGGATCTTTGAGGGAACAGGGATCTGCTCCATTTCTGTAAGTATCTGGAGCATATACCTGGTGTTCAGTGTTAATGTGGAATTCATCTTGCACTCTCTTAAGATAATGTAAGTGCAGGAGAAAGAAATCACCTTTTAACTGAAATAGACTATCCTTCAGAACAGAGTCTAAGACTCTTCTGCAAGATCATGTGCTTTATAGTTACTTTCATAACTAACCATGTTAATGTGCACGTGATGGATACAGCCAACATTCTGCTGACCATTCTATAGTGTTGTACACATGCAACTAAGTACATGTTTAGAAAATAGCTAAGAAAGTAGAATCAATGCTAAATTATTGGATATAATACTCAGAAATAACAACAGCCACTGAGGTTTCTCTGTTAATTCTACAACTGGAGATACTCATGTCAGGGTCTACATGGATAGCAGACAATATTATTACTGTACATGCCTTATTAGTTTCCAAATCCAATTTCATTATACTATTTCACAAAACTATAAACAGGATTTTACTGGATAATTTACTAATCAAGAGGCACATTATAATGCATATTTATTTATGGACAAGGCCCACCGAGTTCAGTGGGATTTATTATTAAGTAGAAGGACACCGAATTACACCCATGTAATTTATATTCTCTGATTAAGCATAAACACTGCAAAAATGTTTCAATCATTGCAAATGCAGCACATGTGTAGTAGATTCTTACAAGACCAACATAATCTAAATAGCTTTGGCAGATGAGCTTCACAGTCTTGAGGTGCTTGAGACTCCATGTCCCAACTGGTCCTGGCAGTATAAAGCATCATTCATCACCATAGGCTACTTTAAACTAAGCTGTCAGGATTAGACTGACCACATTTATCTATTCTCTGATGAACTGAGGACCAATTATTACAATGCACTGTATTTATGGTCGCATTTGTTCAGAAACAGTGACAGTGATTAGTAGCTGCAGGGCTACTAATCAGAATCCATTACTCAGAACATCTTGGTATTTTATGATTTCCAGTCAATTTTAAACAAAAATCTGAAATACTGGTGTTCGCTTTTAAAAGCATTACACAGCGTGGGGCCCAACTACCTACTTAAAAGAAAGCCTGCCACATATTAGTCCACCCCTCATTATTAGGGAGGTGGTGGCGCTGTGGGATAAACCACAGAAGCCACTGTGATGCAAGGTCAGAAGACCAGCAGTCTTAAGATTGAATTCACGCGACAGAGTGAGCGCCTGTCACTTGTCTCAGCTCCTGCCAACCTAGCAGTTCGAAAGCATGCAAATGCAAGTAGATAAATAGGCACCACCATGGTGGGAAGGTAACGTGTTCCGTGTCTAGTCGCGCTGGCCACGTGACCATGGAAACTGTCTACGGGCAAAATGCTGGCTCTGCAGCTTGGAAATGGGGATGAGCACCGTGCCCTAGAGTCAGACACAACTGGACTAAATATCAAAGGGAACCTTTACCTTTACCATTATTTAATGGCTCTCCTACACGCCTCTGCATCTGAAGTACATTGGAGAGAAATTACTGTAGAAAGATGGCTATCACTGTGGCAGTAGCCTGCTTGTACTAGTTTCTCTTCAGGAGAGGTTTACTTAGCACCCACACAGTTATATTTACACCAACATATAAATATGTATTTTATTCTCTAATGTTTTTAATATTTTGGTTGCTTTTAACTGCTGCCAATAAAGTGCTGTCTCTCTGCATTTCCCTTTTATTATCTGTGTAATCTGCCATTGGAGTACAACTGAAGGGTAGGCATTTAATGTCTAAATAAATACATGGGAATAAAACATCTCAATTGAGCTTGTAAGAATCCTCTGTGCATGGCCACAGTTAATGTATCATGCTCTATCCATTTTACATTTTCATTTCTATTCACTAGTTCTAAAACACTACAAAGCAACAACATGGGAAAAGGAAAACAGGAAACTGGGGCACCATTATTACAGGCTGTGTTAGATCAGCTGTAATAAAGTCCTGGTTTGCCTTTCCTTGGGAAAGTTTTGGAAAAGATCTGTAAGCTGACATATGTTCAACATTAATTAGCCAATCCAGTTCCAGATAGTTAATAAATTTACTAACAGTACTGTATCTCAACTCAAATCTCTTAAAACAGAGAAATATAAAAAATAATAACATTTTTAACATTTTGGCTCCAAGTAACTCCTTGCATTATTGACAACACCCAACAAAGCATAAATTACCTCTCATTTGAAATCTATGTACAAAGCAGTGCAGTTTATAAACAATAAGAAACCAATAAATCTGAGGAACTCTCAAATATTTCATGTTAGTATTTTTTTTCAAGCCTATGCTAAATCAAATGTTTAAATACCCACCCATTCCTCTTCCAAATACTCACCATCTGTAGAATTGCACCATATAAACGAAGAAGAACAGTGCGTGGTTCATCTGCAACAGTCTCTATAGAATCAGGTAATGAGCATTGGAACAGCATGTTGCTGAGGCCTCCTCTGTGAAGAACGGTGTATAGTTTAATCACTGTATGAAAGCTTACTGTATCAACAATCCAAAGCCTGCACTGATCAACTGATCATTCACGAACTATTCTTCTGTCCAATTTTTTTATTTACCCAGTCTCATCAGCACAGCCCCTTGCAATACAAGTTTTTATCAATACTTGAACGTACTGTATTTTTTCATTTATAAGAAGCCCCCATTTATAAGACCACACACACTTTTCTAACAAAAATATTAAGAAAACTTAGCTTTGAGTATTCAGCCTCTGGGCTCAGAACGCTCGGACATTAGGAGTCCCTGTTGAATCTGAGCCCTGTCTACAAGCTCCACCTCCAACCGTTGGTTTATTCAGCATCAGCTGACAGCAGTTCCATAAGGCTCATGATTGGAGGAAGCTAAGTCTCCTGACTGTAGGAGGCTAAACCTCCTGATTTGAGGCAGCTAAGCTTCACAATTGAAGGAAGCCTGTTTACAGAGGCAAGGTATGGGCCGTTTTGTTCTCAGCTTACTTCTGTGTAAAAGACACCCCTCAATTTTTTTGTGTAATGATTTTAGGAAAAAGTAGCATCTTATACATGGAAAATATGGTATGTGCAAAATGTATTAAATTCTAAAAGTATCTACAGTATTTAAATATTATTTAGTAGTAAAACTAGGTAGTAATTTTATCTAGTTACATGCAGAAAAAAGCTGTATTTGAATTGGGTTTAGCATGTTTGAAATCATTTTTTTAAAAGGTGACTACATGACATACATGAAAGCATGCATTTTTTTGCCTGGGAAGTTGTTTTTTTGGTTGCAAAATGAGGTTATTTTACTCAGCTGCGAGATGGTTGTTGCGAGAGTGGTCGAAATGACTAGATAGGCGGGGTATAAATACAATAAATAAATAAAAATAAATAAATAAAAATATTTGAAATCATTTGTGAAATTGATTTATTTTGAATCATTTTGGCATATGTGAACACCTCTATCAATATAATCTGTATCAAATTTGCCATGCGTGCGTGCGCCCTGCCTCCCTCCCAGTGCATGGGCTGGAGGGAAATCTGCTTAAGTTTTTTTCCTGTGTCATACTGACCTAGCACTACAGTGGGGTCTTGACTTGCGAACTTAATCCGTATTGGAAGGCGGTTCGCAAGTCAAAAAGTTCGCAGGTCAAAATCTGCATTCCCATAGGAATGCATTGAAAACCATTTGATCCGTATTTGCAGCCCCGCCGCCGCCGCACCTTTGTGCCGGCTGCTCTTCTTCCAGTCCTTGGTGGTCTCCCGGCTGCTGACGAACTGGAACTTGTTGGGCGTCCTCTGGGAGAGGGTGCGGGTGGGAGTGGGAGGCCTGGGGGTTTGCGGCGTGTAGTCCAGGTAGGCGCGCGGGTGCGGGTGATGGGCAGCGGCAGCCGTGGCGGCGGCGGCAGCGAAGAGCTGCTC